GTACAATGGATCTCATGCGGGGAAAGCGCCGGGGCCTGATGGGTTTCTGGGGATGGTGCTCAGAGCCTTTGGCAGGTCTGCGCCACTGCCTTCAATCTGTCCCTGACACGGGAGCATCATTCCGACATCAGCCCGACTTCAATGACGGATTTGTTGATTGGCGTGCGGATGAAAGAATTCAGTTGGATGGTTGGATGGAAGGTTGACTGAATTGTCGGATGGGTGACTGAAAAGGTGCACATGATTGGACGGAGGTCTACACAGATGTCATGCGAACAGATACTTCAATAGCGGATGCAAGGCAGAAGACCGTGTCAGCGGGTTCACGGATTTAAAATGGACGGATAAAATTGCGGGATGTTTTATGCATGGGTGAATGACGGACGGATAGAAAAAGCCAATGTTTGTTTGACGTCAATTGAAGTGAAATGATTACGACCTTTTTTTTTTGTTCCTGATGGGGGAAAAGTGAGGGGAGCGGGGGGACTTTTATTTTCTCATCAGCATTTGAAGCATCCTTTGAGCTGTGGGACAGACGTTATTTGAGGAATATATTTTATTTTTTTTTGTCCATGGAGGAGACTGTGGCACTTGAGCTGATGTATTTGCCCATCGCTTGTATGTCTCTGATAACTGCTTGCCTGGAGGGCTACAATGGCTTCAATATTTCACTCCTCTCCAGCCTCACCGGCACTCGTTCTTTTTTTTTTCAGTGCAGTGCCAGAGTGTTGGGATACATATATGGGCGGTTAGAACATGGCGGATTGGTCCGTAAGTGAAACTCCACGGCAGGATTGCTTTGGCGAAATGTGTGAGATGTTAAAAAAAAAAAAAAAAAAAAAGGACAGCAAACACCCACGGTCAAACACAAGATGAGGCAACGTTTTTAACTACTCGGCGGACGAGACATATTTTATCACTCCCATAAAAACCTTGTCGTCTCATTCGACCTGGCGGTTATTAGTCAAAAGTCGCTGTGGCGCTTTTGTTTTCTCTCCTTGCAACGTTAAGGGATTGGCGCTCTGATTTGCAATTGTCCACATGTTGTAACTCTGCTTTATTGGCTACTTAACACCGAAGCAACCGTTTATTTACCCAAACCACCTCTCCTGTCCGACGTACTTGGGCACATAATCGTTTTGACCTTCCCCTTGCGTTGTGTTTATTTCCGCAAGACTATCTAATTAAAGAGAACTTACTTTCAGAATTGGATGTGCCGGAAGCTCACGTGGATGAATGTTAATGACTGCATAAAATTTTAGAATGAAAGATTGAAGCCAATATGCGTACTGTTGTAATCATTGTCCCGAATCTGGAAGAGTATAAAATACCGTTTAACCCTTTGTGATGAGAAAATTGCATTCTACTACATTCCAATGTCGATTTGAATTGGATTCATTTTTCCTCCCTTAGCCTACGTAAGACATTTCAGGCATCCATGAATATATCATGTTCAATCGAAGAGTGTCCCCAAACGGGATGTCATTTACTTGTGCGTGTTTGCTCGTATGACAGAGTCGAGCAAAGTGCCGTTGTTTTGTTCCCCCCCTCCCAACAAATGCCGCGGTCACATTCGAATGGATCACAAAGCAATCCATAATGGACGCCTTGTTAACAGGCTGAGCATTTCTGATCTCTAATTAAGGACGATACGGTATTTGCAAAGAAGTTCCACCGTGCGATGCCCGGAGGCTGCTTTCTCCGTGTGCCTCTCTCGGGCCACATTAGCGTATAGTATGGCTGTTATTGAACGACCGTGCCATTTGGCCATTGATTGCAGTGGAAGCCATTAAGGTCAGGGAGATTACGGGTCTTGCAAAGCACCGATTCCAAAGCGGAAACCAGGGGCTGGAAAACTGTTGCGGGAATGAAATATGTGATGTACAAATTGCACTCGGTGCAACAGTGTGTCTGCCAATGATGACGCCAACAACTTTTCCGGCATATGGCACGAGCAGGCGGATAAGACGAAGGGGCTCTCATTTAGCTTGCCCCTGCTAACGGCCGCTGTCGAAATTAGCAATCACATTTGATGTTCCGGGCGCACGGAGCTTTCAAGAGCGCGGTGGGTTTTGGCCTGCGTGACAGCCTCCCACGATGTCTTCAGCCGATCATTCAAATTGGCCAGCGGTTACTATGCAGCGGTTGATGGAGGCGGGGTCAGAGCCCGGGATGATTGGTGAGGGGGGGGGGCCGAGTGGCTGCGCCCTACCTCAGTCGGCTCGGTGGCTTTCTGCTCATATATTTATAGCGATACTGTATTTAATTGAGTTTCTAGCGGGTGGGCTGAATTTTAAGGAGCCTCGTAAATGGAATTGGAGGCATGCAGAAACACAATCCGCAGTGCAATAAGCATGCAAAATGCACGATCGTGAGAAGCGGCTGGGGTTGTAATGAGAGCAATGCAACACATTTGAAATGGAGCACAGTGGCCTGCAGTGTTTTGGATGCCGAGAAGTGTGCGGCTGACCTTAAGGTTGTTCTTTGAAAATGTTAATCAATTCAAAGACTGGGAACCTCTGCATTGCAACTGATAGCGATGATTTAATCAAGTGCAGAAAGCTAAAGTCGAGCAGGGAGAACGCATCTGGTGTACTACGGGAAGACCTTTATATGTGTACTTTGGTGAGATAAATAGATATATTTGCATTTTTTTTTTTTTTTTTTTTTGCCCTTCAAGTGAATCATGACTTGAAACGCATACAGCACTGTCCCATTAAACTCCACTGCAAACTTCATCTTTGATGATGTAATATCCTTTCGGCAGGATGTGTCACAGTGTGTGGTACCGCGACGTATAAGCCACCGAGTTGCACTGCCAGCTTTTTTTTTTTTTTTTTTTTTACCCCTTGAGGGAAGAAAGGCAGCTTTTGCTTGGGGTGAGGTATTTATTTATTCAAGTGGACGGCTCAGCAATGTATCTATTAGAGCAGACGCCACTTCAGTACTGTATTTTATCTTTTATAGTGTGAGACAGTTGAGAGCACATGCCCCTGAGGTAAAAAGATTCCATTGTTAAGGCGATGAAGGCGTAGCCCAATGTGCAGCTTGACCCCTGCGGGGTCAATATTCAAATTCATTGTGTTTATCGGATCATAAATTGAGCATGATAGATTAATTTGCATTGGGCTGGCTCATCAGCCACAAAATATAAATGAGCAACCTCGAGACCGTCAAGCCCGGAGCTTCATAGCCCAGAGGAAAAAAACTGGCGCCTCCAAATGTGATTTCTTTCAAGGACACTGGGGTGGAGGACCGTGGAAACATCCCCGTGATGATTTGCACTCAATTCTTGCCACTCGCAGCTTCCAGCCGACATATCAGACAACAGTTAACACCAAGACGAGTGTTATCACGCGTTGAATGTAATCAAAGATTCTAATGAGCGTCATTAAAATTGACACTGCTAAATGCGGGACTTCATGAAAATCACTGTGGGTTTACACTGAGTTGACTGTGTTTTCTGAGCCATCAAAGCCAGTTACAGTGCTGTAGGCTAAGAGCAGGAGGGTGTGTGTGTGTGAATGTGTGTGCGTGTGTTTGGAGGGGGGGGGGTCACCTCTTATCCAGAGCGAGCCTGGCATGTGCATTTTTCTCCCTTTATAGAGTGTGAATTCATTTGAGAGTGCAAAACAGCTGCAGCACCGAAGCAGGGAGGCAGCGAGATGCGATACCGGGTGGCCACCGCACTCGGCGATCATGAATTAAAAGGTCAAGTATTTAATCCCAGCTAAAAGGCGACGTTTGGTAAGAATTAAAATGGTGTGAAAGTCCCAATGTGGTGTTCAACACAATGACACATTGCAGCACTCGACTATGGCAGTGATATGACTCTTCCGGGCTCCCCCGAAAAACGCCAAATGGCAGTGATACGAGTGAATCTTGTGCACCTTGATATATTTTTTTCCTGTGCCAATGCGCACCTGCGCACCCATTATGTACACCCCTGCTTATAGCGAAGAAGTCATTGGGGTTTATGCAGATTGAGAAGCGTTGACATATACATGCTAGTTTTTTCAAAATCAAATCATCTGATTTTTAGTTGTCAGGGCAATATGAACTCATAAGCATGGAATTACAGTACATTTTGAAATCATGGTTGGGGTTTTCTTGAGGAATTAAACTATTAGCACAGGCAACTCCAAACATTTTTAGGACTGGGGCGGGCAATCTTAGTATAGCAAGGGGTCGTCATGTGACAAAAGATTCCACGTTCAGTTACTGCCATACTTTCTTTCATTTGATTTATCAAATACTGAAATTACCACAATACTCTTGCATTAGCGACTGCGCTGGGCACTGGCTTGTATGCATATTCGGATTGCATCCCCGCCCTTGGAAATAAATTCTTCCTAAACAGAGAAACTCCTGGAATCAGCTGATATGACTCAGATTAATCAGCCTGTGTGCAGCAATCGTGACTGTCATCTAATTATGATTTCATTGATGCCATATTTCAAGTCTTAAGATCATCCAACAAAACTGGAATGACATGGCTGACGCTGCATTTTGGCAAACTAAACCCTAAAGTCACTTTAAAATATTATCGGTGGATATTTTCTCGGCGACCCTGCTCGTCGGTGTGCGCGCGCGTGCCCGTGAACGCAGGCGCGAGCGCGCGGCAGACCGGGGGCACGAGCCGAAAAGGAACCGCTGCAATTCAACAAAACTGACGTGCCGCGAGGAAACTCGTCCTCGAGAACCAAGACGGCCCCAAGTGAAATTGTTTTTGACGAGACGTCGAGCCCGTTGGTTAACGCGGCGACACGGGAATCGGTGAAAGAAAAATGCTGAACGCGCACAAACGCATCGTTTATCATCCAAAGGGAGCGAAGAGGAAAAGAGTCACAAACTGGAGCCGGTAGGCGGTGACAGCGATGATAAAATCAGCTTTTCACTGCATTTTTTGATGTATATATATTTTTTTCCTGTCGGTTCAACAGTGTGTTTCATTTCGAGCCCATCGATGACACAAGCGAACCTGAACTCTGCTGCCTTACCGTCAATGGACGACTAGTCTCTCCAAAGTGTTGAATCTCATTGCAGGCTCAGAAGAGAGGCTTTGTAAATCCGTTTCGAAGGCTGGAGGGGAAGGGGGGGGCGGGGGGTATAATGAAATAAATTATCGTAAAAAAAAAAAAAAAAAACAGTCCGAAGAAGTAATAACGTCGTTTAGTGGGGGGGGCGGGGGGTATAATGAAATAAATTATCGTAAAAAAAAAAAAAAAAACAGTCCGAAGTAGTAATAACGTCGTTTAGTTACACGTAAGAACGTCCCATGCCCGACACGAAAGAATTCAGACATACATGGTGAGTCCAATCTGCAGACTACAGTCAACCGCAAACGCGCTCTCTCTCTCTCTCTCTCTCTCTCTCTCTCTCTCTCTCTCTCTCTCTCTGTCACTCTTCCTTCTCTCTCTCTCTCTCTGTCCCTCCCACCCTCCCCCTCTCGTTAAACAGGGGGCATTTGCCTTCTTGGCAATGATGTGATAAAGAAGTATTCAATTTGAGTTAATTGATTGCAACAGTGCCAAAACAAAAATCCAACTCCCCTTGCATGTAAAATAGACTAAGCAAGAAAGAATCAACACCTCCCCACCTCCCCACCCCCTTCCTTTTCCATCTCCCACAAATAGCGTACATACTTTGCTGAAAATAATTGAATTAATGGCCACTTTGTTTCGAAAGGGAAAGGAGCCATCTGGATCAACTTCCCCTGCCCTGTCACCATGTGCTGTCAGAAGGGAGCAACAGTTTGCAAGGGAATGTGTCATTAAAAAAAAAAAAAAAAATTGGCCGTATGCTGTAAGTAGCACTGGTGGGAGGATTAGTCTCTGAACAAAAGAATGACAGTCGTAATTAATTTGGGACCGCCATTTTGCACGTATCACACCATCTCCTGGGTTAGTAATTCAATAAGATGGAAATGTCAGGATTCATTTGTCCCATTTAGCCAATCTGTCTCCATTATAAAAGAATATTTATGGTGGACTATTGGAAGTCATCACCGGTGAAAGGCTCCATTAAGCATCTCAGCCAAATAACAAGTGCGACGGAACCAAAGTTGCACCTCACGTTGATTTTGGTTCATTGGTCATGTCGTGGCTGCTATTTCTGCCTTTCACGCATGCAGGTTTAATTCCCTGTCCGTGTTCAAGTTGGCGTTCAGTCCACGGTGTCTCTCACCTTTGGTCAGTTGTGATCTGCGGTGTATAAAATGGATGGAAGGAGGACAAGAGTGATTTGGCATGCAACGCTTGCTCCCGTAATCGACATTGAATTATGCGATTAGATATTAAATTGCCATGATGTGCACATAGGTCAAAAGCTCACGACGGAGTACTTGAGACTCATAAGTGGCCGCCCCTTCGGAAATGCTCATCAACTATCCTCGCGGTTTTGATGGGCACAGTTGATTGCAAACGTCCGCTTGTTATCGGTGCGCTGGCGACATCATGCTAGCCGCAAATGCTTTTGATGAAGACGTGAATGATTAAGTTGAGTGCTCTCAAATCTTTTTTTTTGACCCAGCGAAAAAAAAACAAGACTGAATGTAGTCGTACTGTAATTAGTGGGAGCTCTGCGCGCGTTTCTCCTTTTTTTTTTTTTTTTTTTTTTTTTTTTTTTTTTTTTTTTTGGTTTCAGAAAATCTCCCGAGGCTTGTCTTTTAATACCGGGTGCCGGGGCTCCATGTGATGAATCAGTTTTGATGGCTGTATTATTTCATTTGCGAGACTGTCGCAACATTATGCAGAGCTGGTTTGCTGCGTGCGAGTCAAGCAGCGATAACTCGATACCTAAAGTAGGACTGCCTCTTTGAAAATTGCCTTTTCCTTAGCAGTTGAAGGCTCATGATTTGGCCTGTTCCCATTTCCAAAGGTGCTCGCCAACCACATTTCTTTTTGAAACTCATCTTGCAGGTTACCAAGTGAACATAAAATAAATATGAAACTGCATCTTGTACAGTCACCATTCCTCAGCGAATGAAAACATACAAATCCGTTGTTGGTTTTAAGTGCCGGTCGTACACTCGTTTCCCGATAACCTTCCGCCTGGTTCTCATGGTCACAATAACGAACGTGATGTGACACAAATAGCCCGCGTGCGGATCTCGCGATTCAAGTGGAAATGCATTCGTACACGTGAAAAGATCCATTTTCATCCAGCACTCCGTTGTTCGCAACGTGAACGTTATTCATCTCCTTCGAGTGGCGAGTGATGACAAATGGGACTTAGCGCAGCCGTTCTTGAATTTAAAGGCGGAGAGCCTCTTGCCTACATAATGTCGGTACAATTTGTCATCCTGAATTTTCGAGCAATCGACTGCCCATGACATTAAGCAGCCCGACATTTACACGCTGAGCTTTTTTTTTTTCATGCTCCTTGATTGATCTGAAGCAGATAGCCCGAACACGTTTCATGTCTGTTTGTATCTGACACTAATAATGCCAAATGGATTTAAAAAAAAAAAAACAACAACAAAACATGAGCAAGGTCTTATACACAGTAGTAAATATTTTTGGCTTCAGTAACTGTAAACGTTCATACTAACATTAACATTAACATCACACCACATTCATATCTATAACCAGGTCTCCTTATTTGCATATTGAGGCATATTTTCCAACATATACCCCCATATGGAAATATGATTTTGGCGGTCACCTTCAAAAATCTCATTCTGCCCTCAATTCACAGTTGTGGGTGTTTTGGAGCTGAAAAAAAAAAAAAAAAAAAAAATGTCACCATATCACTATCAACCAAGAGAGACGGAATATGAGCTAATTAAAGATAGAAAATATGTTCAACGTCAAGTCACAGGAGAAGAAATAGGATCGGCGGTGTGTAGGCTGGCCGTGTTCCTGCGGGGGGGGGGAGTGTTGGTGTGTTCCTCTGTCAGGGGTTTGAATCCTCACTTTTCCCCGTGGAGAAGAATCTGCTACTGCTCAATGGCTTTCCAAACCACATCCATATACTGTGGAGTGACTGCTTCCATGTCCTGAAATTACCCGCTTGAGAATTTTAAGTCGGACCCCAGCCCCCCTGGGGAGCCCAAAAAGACTGGTGTGAAAGAGGTTAGTTAGCGTTTCTTCCAGTGCGTTTCATATGGCCATCCGCGAGTTCCGCAGATGCGGCCTCGAACCATCTGTCAGTGACCGTTGTTTTGCCAAATCGCCACTTGCGGCGTGCGTCTGGCAGATTAGGCGGTGACATCACGCTTTTTGGCGCATATTAGAATGATTTGACATGCTCTGTTTGCCTTTCCGCAGCCCGCCCCCACCCCACTCCAGCATTGCCTTCGACGCTTGTCAAACCCCAAATAAATGCAAAAGTACACTCGCGCGCATGCAACAGCATCAGTAAATATCTCCCGCACAATTTGTGTCACTCTCCATTTTCACTGCAGTTCTAATGGGGAGTCAATTTGTCCTCATCTACATTTCATTACATTATTCATGTTTTCAGCACACACAGCTTGCAGTTTCTCGCTTTTAGGCTAACTCTCACGTTAACTTTTTATTTTTATTCTCTCCCCCCCTCAGCTTCCCTTCTGCGTTTCCTCTCAGCTCTGCTTTGAAGTCCTGGTGCCAGCCCCAAAACCAGCTCCCTGAACAAGGTGAGAATTATTATTATTTTTTTTTTCTTGCGGGTTTTAAGTCAAGTAAAAATTCATTTAACACCGAAAGGAACCCACAAGCGGTCCCCAAAAAAAGTTCTCATTTGACCGGAATAGAGTCAAACCGTTCCGACGTCTATTTCCTGTTTTTAACACATCGAGGATGAAGTTTGCAGTGCGTATCAGGCGCATTGACGCGGGACCAAACAGAAATAACCCCTGTCGCCGCATTGACAACTTCAAGCGAGTGGGCGTCTCGGAACCTCAGGCGTTGTCAGAACTCGTGACAATCTCGCTTCCCAGAGTTGAAACAATTCAAAGGGCTCCGCTACTTTTGTCCCGTTTGAAGTCAATATCTGAGCTATTCATCGCCCAAGAATACTTTTCAACACAGCCCTGTAATTAAGCGTTGCAGTACATTGAAAGGGCCAATAAGATGAAACTTTAATGATCCCCGAGAGGAGATTGGGCTGTTGAATGTGGTCTAAAAATGTAGCAATGCAGTAAGCAAAATAGTCGAACCGCCCCCCCCTCCCCGCCCCCTCTCTCTTTGCAGATACATACTGCGCATAAGTACACACTCATAAATAATGAGGTTGGCTTCCTGGGCCTTGCGTATCTCCTGACTTTCATCTACGCTCAACAGAGCTCCTTTCCATTTCAAAGCCGTAACTACGACGCCGCCACTCTCTCGCACGCCATCTGTAGCGGCATCAGGCCAGGTAATGCTTGAAACGACGACGGCGGCCACATTTACCGTAGAATGGGATGTCATGCCAATGGATTGGTGGGGGACTAAAAATCCGATTCAAGAGACCAGTGTTAACCAGCGTTGAATCCGATTTAAAGAACCAGAGTTACCGCATGTTGGATCTGAACCACATTGCAGCTCCGAGTTGTGTGCAGTCAATAAAGTGAGTGGCTTGATTATCATTATTATTATTTTTTTTTGTCAAAATATATATCGGTCCATTTTCTTAGCTCATTTAATGGATTACCTTGAGGATTTTTGAGCAAGTCACGACATAGTGCTTGCATGTTGAGAATGGGAGTTAAAGAGTGAGTGAGACTAGAACAGTGATTATGTTTATTAATGCAGACGGTTGGCATTTGGAGGACAGCAAGAGATTTAGAAGTGTGTGTGTGTGTGTGTGTGTGTGTGTGTGTGTGTGTGTGTGTGTGTGTGCGTGTGCGTGCGCATACTGGAAGTTTGCAAGTGGGGTGATATGTGAGTCGAGGTGGTAAAGTGCAGTACAAGCCTGCCTGGCACTCTGTGGGGAGTCATGCGACATGTTCCGAGATAAAACTCCACTTGGATCAGCATATTGAAAGATTTTTTTTTTTTTTCTCAGCAGAATTAGCTCCTTGAGAAAAAAAAATCATTTGCATACCGAGTGAATGCAAAGCAGAGTGCCAAAATAACAACTCGAGCAACTTGAATCCTTATCCTTTATCCTCGTGGTGTTGTTTTTTTTTTGTTTTTCACCTCATTTATTTCTTCTGTACATTTGTTGTCCTGCACTCATGATGAAACTGAATCGCACCAGTGAATGA